ACGAAATAAATTCGGAACATAGGAATATAATGTATTTCGGCTCAATTCTGCTGTAGCTGGTTGGCCAACAAAAGATTGTCAAATAATTATATTATAAAAAATCCCATACTTCAGCGGGCTGCTGGATTCTGAACTCATAAAAATTGAAAGCTACACATAAATCTACGATTTTATTATGCTGTCAAACCAGTTATAGTCCAGGAAATGTAGCATTTCACCTCGCAATTTTTTCGTGCGGCGTGGATTGACTTGAAATTTAACAGAAGGTAGGTAATAGCCTAAGGATCAAAATCTATATCGAACCAAAGTGTGCCAAATCCTAGGGGGTGGTTGCCACCCCATCTCCGGGGTGAAAATTTTTTTTACGTTTTAACTACAGGTTTCGATTAGAAAAGTGATTCTAAACAAAAAATGTGCTATACATTTTTTTATAAAATGATATTTTTCAAGTTTTTAATCGATTTTTCGCGAATAACTCGAAAATGGTGCATTTTATCAAAAAAATTGTAGAGAACAAATTTGTAGCTTTTAAAATACAATTATAAATACAATTACAAATACAATATCAATGTTCAGCGATTTTCTTCAAATGCCAAATTTGAAAGATTTAAAGTCAAATATCGGGAAAATGATGCATTTTTGGAAGAAAACTCACAAAACCTTTTTAAAAGAGCATAAATAGACCTATCATAAAAAAATAAGGTCAATACCTCATTTTTTACGAAAAAATCGAGGAAAACAACACCCTAACCACCCCCATAATTAAAATCGATCTTCACCCTTCTGCAATTCCCTTTGTAGATGTATTGTTAATACGTCCAAGAAGTTTGACCCATTTAAAATGCTTAGTTTTAGAAAAAGTACAGCTTAAAGCGAGAAACGATTTACAATTTCATATTTTTTATCCTTCTTTTTTTAAATATGCCCGAAAATACTGAATATATGAAAAAAATAAAAATTACCAAATTGTAGCTTTTTTAATGACTAAAATTATTCTTTATTTAGATTTGTTGTACAATGAATATTTTGCGAGATATAGCCGTTTAAAGCATCGATTTACGATCAAGCACCATCTTTTTCGAGACCTTTAAACTCACCCCATTTAAAAACCAAGGGTTCCAAAAAGATTTAGTTCACAGATCCTTGTAGCTATTACAAACCTCTACAAATCGTTTTTGAAGAAACATCTATCGTTAAAAATTAAAGGAAATACGTTAAAAAAACCAGTTAATTTTTTTCCGGAAAATTCCATTAGTATAGTACAGTACATTTGGGAGCATAATAATCTACAAAACCGGTATATTAGCTAGTGGGGCGTTATACATTCGAAATTTTAAGCGTTCTTATTTTGAAATCCCATACAACAGAATAAAACATCTGCTCATATGTCTATGGCTGGGCAATGAAAATATCAGAGCAACAGATTGGGGATGGTTTTCCAAAGATGGTTTGTTATTACCCGTACGCATGAACAAACAACCTGCACCCGATAAATTTTTGAAAATTATTTTTTGCCAATGCAAAAAAGGATGCGGCGTTTCATATGGGTGCAGAAAAGTTGGTTTATACTGAGACTCTACTTGTTCTGGGTGCTCAGGTGAAGGGTGCAATAACAGTCCACCAATAATTGAGGAAGATGATGATGACATAGATCACGATGAAGATGTAATTGATGACGAATAAAATTAATATTATAATTTTTTTACCTATAAATGTAAATATTTTCAACTATTTATGTAAATGTATAAGAATATATGGTGCCTTTTTATGTTGATATTTTTTTTTGTATTTAATTCTACTTTTTTCAATTTATATCTTATAAATTAGTTTATAAAAACTGCAATGTTGTAAAGGGTGATTTTCAAAAGTTGAAAAGTTGCAAAATTTTGGCAAAAAATTGTTTTCACCTATAGCACTCATAACAATTGATTTTTAAGGGTTGAAAATGTATGAATTTGTATTTTAAAGTATAAAAAACTCACTATTAAACTAATCCAAACCAAATTTCACTCATCTTAGGATTTGTAATACTATTTTACAATTTTTGAAAATTAGGGGTAGTTTTCACCCCTAAGAACAATCAGGGTTCATCGGCATGACATAAACTATAAAGCAGAGGGTGAGTTCAGCTTAATTCCAAATTTTTATGCAAGTCGTTCCAAGGTGAAATCATTTTCTTCGCATTACTATTTTTTTTATAATAATCTCTAATGAGGGTCGCTTTTTAAGGGTTGAAATATGATGGAACTTTATTGAAAAGCACGAAACTATCATTATTTAATTAATTCAAACCAAATTTTACCCATATTCAGGTTTAATATGTTATTTTATAATTTTTGACAATTAGGGGTAGTTTTCACCCTTAAGAACAATCAGGGTTCGTCGACATGACATTAACTATAAAGCAGCGGGTGAATTGAGCTTAAATCCAAATTTTTATCCAAATCGATCCAAGGCGAAATCATTTTTTTAGAATTAGTAATTTTTTACATTAATCTCTAACAAGGGTTGCTTTTTAAGAGTTGAAATATGATGGAAGTCTATTCAAAAGTATAAAATAATCATTATTTAATTAATTCAAACCAAATCTTACCCATATTCAGGTTTAATATGTTATTTTATAATTTTTGACAATTAGGGGTAGTTTTCACCCCTAAAACCCTTCAGCGCACTTTGGTTCGATATAGATTTTGATCCTTGGGCTATTACCTACCTTCTGCTAAAATTTCAACTGGATACATGCAGGACGAAAAAATTGCGAGGTTTTAACTTTTTTCGAGCTTCAATTCCTGAACTATTATCGCCTCCTTAGACAAACCCGTCTTACGCAAACAACTTTGTTGCGAGACAGATAGTTGAACGATATTTTATACAATGTTTATACCCAGGTATGGATTTATTTTTGTCCAAGTTTTATATTGGTCCACTATTTTAAATGCAGTTCAAACAGACATGTATTAAATTGTATGTTCCGTTTTAATTTGGTTCAATCTGTATATATATATATATATATATATATATATATATATATATATATATATATATATATTATATATATATATATATATATTATCTCCTCTATTGTTAACAACCGGTTGAATTACAAAATGTTCAATTATCAACCCGTAGAACAGGCTGGCTTCCTCAAAGGATATTATTACATCAGACTATTTACTGACAATGAAAAAATCAATAGAGAAGGCAAATGAATAGCAACTACCCGTAGTTTTTGTCTTTGTAAACTATGAAAAGGCATAGTTTAACTACTACATAATAAAATATGAAAATTCAACGATGATGGTACATCTAGAATATAATACAAATCCCACTCCCATTAAAAGAGGAGTTCGACAATTCGACGTAAGATCGCCAAAGATGTTTAATCTAGTCCTAGAAGAAGTCTTCAATACTACAAAATGGTGAACATATGGCATCAATGTTAATGGAACAAACCACCTGAGATTCGCTGACGACATCGTGATTATAGCGAGCACATTCGAGGAATTACAAACTATGGTGGAAGAACTCGCAGACAGCTCTCAATACGTCGACCTAAAAATGAATATATGACAAAAACAATGGCAAATACGTATAACCAAAAATGGCAGTGAATAGAACAAGTGCAAAAATATATCTACCTAGGCCAAATTTTGAAACTTGACAAAGATAACCAAAGTGCAGAAATCACTACAAGAACAAGAATGGTATGGGTAGGATTTGGAAAACTCAGTTGCATACTTAAGAACCGCAAAATACCTTAATACTTAAGCAGCAAAGTGTTCTACCAACGCATCCTTTCTATCATGACATATGGATGTCAAATCTGGAACATAACTAAGGCAAATATAACCAATCTGGCCATAATAGAAAGGACAATGTTGGTTATACGACTGTCATATAGAAAAAGTCCAACGTTGAAATGCCACAATAGATTATTGAAGACTTCAAAAGGTAAACGGCCAACAGAAAGACAACAGACGAGATATGTAGATGACATCAAACAAGTTGCCGCAACAAATTGGAAGTATGTTAGTATTGGAAGTATGTTAGGAGTAGAAGGGGAAGATCTGGAAAGACGCTTAGGCAGAACATGTCGGTAAAGGGTATTGGGTATTGTGCATCGAGCAAAAAGATAAAAGAGGGAATCTAATCGTTATGAAAAGGAGACCAAAAAAGTGGCCTCTGATGGCGGACATATCCGGAAATCCAAAGGCGCTAAATTTAAATTTTCCAACACTTATTAACAAATAGCTATAAAATATTTTTCAGACGAGAAAGTTTTAATTAAATATTAACTATAATAGTCTAAAAAGTGACACAATTGGTAAAAAACTTCAATATAAATAAAATTTCATGTGACAGTTGGGACAAACAATAACATAACCAAACTAAATTTGACTTCTCAAACAAGGAAAGACTATCTTTCCTTGTTTAAAGTGGCCTCTCAAGATAGCACTTCCTGTTTAACAATATTTATGCCCCCACTACCTTTACATTCCCTCTTTTATCTTTTTGCTCGATGGTATTGTGGCGTGCGGTGCTGTTGTGATTTGCATTGATTTTTTCTAACTTCGCGTTAAATTTTATGACGTATATGCAATCGTTGAAATGTATATTTGTTGGAATTTAAGATTAACTTTTCTTATCTATCCGAAAGTTTCACCAAATTTGAATTATGATTTTAAAAATATTTGCAAATACATGGTCATTACTGTTAAATAACATCCTGAATAAGTCATTAAATCCAAAGAAAGTTGTGTTATATGGTATAGACCACTCTTTGTGATGCAGTGACAATATAATATGACTGATAAGTCTTTTGCTCAGTGTTTATTATATATTCATAAGCTAGGACAAAAACTAGTTAACAATTGAATGTCTTTGCTTCATTTGTAGTTGTTATGTGAGCACCTGTTTTAAATTTATTTAAAACTACTTTTCATTTTTTATATTACTATTTATTGTCGTAAGTTTATCTATAAGGGTCTCATTTTTTCCAGCAGCCCACATGGCGATTGTGGGGCGAGGAGAAGGCAGATGGCGCCCTGTACACGGTTTACCTCAAGAAAGTTCGTTACCATCGACCGACCAGGAGTTTATCGTCTTCACACTCGGTAAGTTTATGTATATTTACTTAATTAAACTTGTTTTTATAATACATTCGTACCACAACAAATTGTAGAAAATCGAACAACCAGAGATTTGCTCACCTATTTAATGGTACTCTTTAAAAATCTTTTTAAAATATTGAGGAAGGCAGGCCATACATAAATGCCCCAGCAAACACCCAAAAAGTGCTATTAATGTTGGTAGCGATATCACACCCTTTCCTTATTACGAAAAAGGCTTAAGACAAGGATCTCCAATGCTCTTTAGATATATTCGAGGAAGTTTTAACAAATTAGGAACCAGTGCCTAACAAATCTTTTCGTCGCAGATGATCAAGTAATTGTAGCAAATGACGAAAAAATTATGCATTATATGATTCAAAAACTGGCTGTATACTATTGGGACTTAACAACCAATGCTAATAAGACAAAATACCTCTTAATAACGAACAAACAAGGAGATCCTTAATCTTTTTTCTTTAACAAACAACAACATTCAACCTTCTTTCCAAAAAAACCCTTTCTATTAGAGACATAAAAGATAATAGAAAGAACATAGTGTACATATCCATATCAACTCTATCTTATGGTTATGAAATGATTATAAACCAACGATAAGCAAAGTAGATATATGGAGAAGGAAATCATTCGAAGAGTTTATGGTAAAATAAAAACGGAATACAGATGGCAGATATGCACGTATGAACAAGTCTAAAATCTGTGCAACCGACTTTGAATAAGTGAAACAATCAAAATAATAGACAATCAAAGTAAAAGTAGATGACGCTACGAACCAATATCACTCTGTCAAATGGGAAGTTTTCTAAAGGATCCTACTTTGCTCTTTTCGAGACTGCCTGGTGAGTTCTTAATATAGACGAAAGAATAAAGATAGACTTTTAGAGAGGCGCTACATTTCAGTGGCTACCTAGAAAGAACCGAAGTGTCAAAATTAATTCAACGGTTACCGTTAAAACACATAATTAGAAATAGACAAGCGGTTGGCAGAGACAATTAGAAAAATCACACGCCTATTAAATCATACATGTTCTCAAAACAACCTATATCTAAGTTTGTTAGTTATTTGAGTATGCATCAATATTTTTGTCCATGATTAGTTATATAATTTTACGAATTAGGATTAGGTTATGGTTTATAAAGTTAAAGCAATTATTCTGCTGTAATAAAGCAATTATTACTTTTAATCAAAACTACTTCCTTCTAAAATACTAAAATGGGATCAATTTGTGGCTTGTTGAAATAAACACAAAATCATATCAGTTATGGTCGTATTAATTTCAGTACAAATCAAGAACTTTGTGACTTGCTACATTCATAAAACATTCGTCTGTGTTTCACTATTTTCTCTGATATTCACTTTCATGGTTAAACATTTTTCCATATAAGTGATAGACTCGACCGTTACATAATAAGAATTCATTTTAATAAAACAATGAAAACTTCTGTTTTCAAAACTTCCACACAATTTATTATAATTTTTATTTTTTTATCACTACAGCTGTTTCGGCAGAGTACATTATCGCTTGCATTGCTTATTAACAAGCGATCACGTTAATTGCATAGTTTGAAAAAAAGATCACTTAAGAAAGACACTCTGATAACAATATTTTTGTTTTTTTTTGCGTCGCGTAAATATACAACGATGGCGGTTTTCCGACGAGCGATTAATTGTCCGTGGGTTGGCCAACTCCAACTGTTGGCTTTGTGGTTTGTTTACTGTCATTGCAAAAGCCAACCACACAGAAAATTGTAAACGTTTAAAATCAAATGGACGTTCGTTGAAATAATCAGTTTTGCAGGATCAAGACATCCTCTCCGTTGTATTTTTCCTTGGTGATCGTTGCCTCAATGACATTATCCATTAGCCTTTTCACAGTCAGTCTCGTTCCATTGCACAGTCGAGGTTGATAAATGTTACGCAGCATAATAACAACTGATTCTAGTTTTAATTGAGTATTATTAGGTGGAAGTCCAGACAATTACAATAAATTCGAAAACTCTGCAGGATAGTTAACCACGTCATCCTGATTTATAACTTCGTCAACAGATTTGAACAAAAACAAGTTTAATGATTTTTCACAAGAATTTTATTATTTAATGCCACATCATAAAAAAGTAAAAGAAAATTTATCGAAAAATTAAAAAAAAAAATGTTTGAGGTGGACCACCTTTATCAAAACTCAGTTGTCAATAATTTTGGCAAGGAGCTCTTGTTTTGTGCTATTCGTAATAAAAAAAATAATATTCATGCTTTTCCTATTTAATCGTCTTTTCTCAGTGAGCTCCTTGGTATATCAACTTTATATTCTAGTATTAATAGTAGTAAATTAGATTTTTCTTCTTTATAAACATATCCTACATAACATTTTTTCCGGTATGTTACAATCTCCAGGAGTTCTATATTCTCTAAATTTTTGTAAGATCTTCTGTCAGTCAGTCTCTTCTGATTCTATTAATATTTAACTAATTTTTTTTGAGTGTTTCATTGGGCATTTGGGGCGATATGCGGATCAGATCATACTCTCCTCGTAGCTAAAGTAGAGCTCAAACTTGTTTTGTTGTTGTTTGTTTGTGTTTAAATGACTGCGGACACTAAATCCATTCGCCAATCTTACAATTTGAGGTGTAGTGTGTGTGTGTGTGTCTGTAGAATTGTCTTGATACTTAGCAAAGTCGACGTCATTGTCTTTGCTAAGAGACGCTAATTGTATCCGAACGTCTGCGGTCCCTCCGGTGTGTACCGATCACACAAGGATAGAAATTATTTTCATTTATTAATTTTTTTAATAAACGAAAATTTCCACCCAGGTGGGATTCGAACTCACGACCTTTAGATTTAAAGGCAGGCGCTCTTACCACTGAGCCACAGAGGGGGTACGAAGCTCAAACTTAAGCACCCTTCAAACTTTAAAGGCAGAACTTGGGCGTTTAAGACCACTCAGGAACCCTGAGAACCAACAGAGAAAATATAACAGTGACATGGAGATTATATTGCCACGATCTATATAAAGATGATTAACGCCAGAAACTTGTTCACTCAACCTCTGAAGAAATCGAAGAATAACCTAATATACTCGAGAATGAAATTAGACTGGCGATCAGTAACCTCAAGTATAACAAAACATCAGGTCCAGATATGATAACAGCAGAAATGATCAAAGCCACAGAAGAAACCGGAATAAAATTGCTTCACTTGTAAAAAAAATATGGCATTCCAAGCAATGATACACAACTTCTTGCAAACAGTCAAGAAGAGTTAATTATTCTTATACGACTGTTTGAAAACGATATTCAAATATTTGGTCTGCAGTTAAACATTTCAAAGACAAAGATAATGATAGTGGATAGACTACATAACAATCATCCACACATAACCACAATAGACCGGTTTGAGATTGTGAGCTCATACTTATATCGGGGATTATTGAACACAAACATAAGGTCACTACAGAAAGAAATAAATCTCAGATGTGATCTAGTAAAAGTCGCCGTAGGAAAGATGGCCAAAATATGGAATGACTCTAAATCGAACTCTAAAAATCAGGTTGATCAGTAACATTCCTAATACTGATATACGGATGTGAATCTTGGACCCTAAGACAAGCGGAAAGAAGAAAAATAGACGTCACTGAAATGTTCTGTTGGAGAAGAATTTTACGAATTTTACGAACAATATACAGGACATTGTGATGGCCACTACACTCCCTCCTGGAGGTTAGAACTGAAGAGAAAGATTGGGTATTTTCTCTATCTCCGCTTATATTTTCCTGGCCCTGCCTAAACTCATTCTAATTTCTATGTTGTGTGGCTCTGGATTAGGTATACAAACATCTCTACTACGTTGAAACCAGTTACGCCTTTCTGATAGGATCGTTAGTGTTAGTTCTATCTTGATCACATTTAAGTTGACACGTTTCTTCTTCTTTAAGTGCCATCCCCGCGACGGAGGCTGGCAATTATCATAGGCGCTGGTTTCTCTGAACAGACGTAAGCCGCGGCTGTCGACGTTTGGACGTTGCGGCTAACGTCCACACGTCGTCGGTAACGGTTGAATGGTTTCTCTAGAATTAGTCAATTTGCTGGTAGATATCAATAGATTTCAATTCAGTCAATTCGTCAATAGACGTCAATTATTAGGTTAGATTAAAAATACAAATCTCTATCTATCTAATTAGCCTTCTTCGGTCCATCTTTGGACATAGGCCTCCCCAATCCTTTTCCATTCTTCTCTGTCTGTCGCAACAGTCATCCATCTAGAGCCCACGTGCTTCTTGATATCATCTGCCCATCTCATTTGGGGCCTTCCTCTGCTTCGTTTATATTCCTACGGTCTCCAACTTATAAGAATTTTGTTCCATCGGTCTTCTTTTTGTCTTATATTGTGTCCGGCAAATCTCCATTTCAATTTTGCAACTTCTTGTCTAACATCCCTCACTTTTGTTTTCTCTCTTATCCACTCGTTTCTCTTCTTATCTATTAGTCTTATGTGCAACATTTGTCTTTCCATTGCTCTTTGGGTTTTTATGATTTTGTCCATGTTTGCTTTTGTAAATGTCCACGTTTGGGAGCCATACGTAAGAACAGGGAGTACGCATTGATTATATACTTTGGTCTTAAGATGCTGTGGATATCTTTTGTTTTTAAGAATGTAGCTTAGTTTGCCAAATGCCGCCCATGCCAGTCTAACTCGTCTCTTGATCTCTGCTGTTTGGTTCTCTTTGTTAAGTTTTATAGTTTGACCAAGATATATATAATCCTTAACTTGTTCTATTTCATCTTGTCCGATTCTCATTGTGATGTCTTCATCTGTATTTGTTATAGTTTTGGTCTTGCTGTAATTCATATTAAGGCCTATCTTTCCAGCTTCTACGTCCAGTTCTTTCATCATTTCAAATAATTCATCTTTTTTATCGGTTATCAATACGATGTCATCAGCGTACCTTAGATGGTTCAAGCGTTGTCCACAAATTTTTATACCTTTTTTTTCCCATTCTAATCTTTTAAAAGTATCTTCAAGAGCCTGATTGAAAAGTTTCGGTGATATTGTATCACCCTGTCTCACGCCTCTACTTATTTGTAATGATTTTGTTCCCTCATATACTTTAATTTTTGTTTTGGCTTCCTTATATATATTGGTTATTAGTTCCGTATATCTGTGGTCAATTCGGCTGTTAATCAAAGAACTTTTCACTGCCCAATGTTCGATACTGTCGAAAGCCTTTTCGAAATCTATGAACGCCATATATAGAGGAATGTGGTATTCATTTGCTCGTTCTATAAGTATTTTCATACTTAGTAAATGGTCACTTGTGCTGAATCCCTTTCTAAAACCAGCTTGTTCTTTCGACTAGTATCCATCGAATTTTGTCGTCAATGTCGAATGTAAAAATACAAAAGACTTTATAAATAATGAACAAAATGTTGACGAAAGTGTTACTTGAAGAAGGGGAAGTTATTGAACTAATAATTAGAACTTTAAAGAAAAGAAGACAGACTCACAATATATTTAAAAATAGAGAGAATGAAAGTACATTTATTAACTTAATTCATACGCATCTTAAATGTGATAATAAAAAATTCATACAATATTTTTGACTATCACAAAAACAGCCACTGTTTGTTATGTATTTTCAGTTCCATCTCTGTTACTATTTTACAAACTTGTAACCTAGTTTCAGCAATAATATGTGGTGTCAAGTTTGAAACAGTATCAGCCATGGACTCGAAAATTTTTTAAATAGCGGATTTTTCTGGTACAGTTTCTGTCTCCGTTAAAAATTTTTCAAACAACTGATCATTTACTTGCTGCATCTTTTCCAAAATACTGATCAAATTTTCATGAGATGTTTTTAACTTTTTTTCTGAGGGAGTAAAAGCTTTTTGATTATCTAATCGAGAACTTTGAGCAATTATTTGATCGTCTTCTGTAGTTTTTTGAGTCTGTAATAGATCTTGAGACTCCTTTACAATGTCTTCCGTCCTCGGTGTACCTTCTACAATCTCTGGTTCTTTTAAATTAGTGTTTAAATCTGCAGGATGTTTACGCTTGCTTCTTCTTCTTCGTTGGTTACAGTTCTTCTCTGTGATTGAACTTTGGTAGGAATTGTTAATTGGCACATATACTTCCATGCAGTTTGGTTTCTTGCCTGAGCTGTGCCAGCGTCTGTGTTTTTCTTTCATGTTGTGGTCATATCAAATTGAGACATATCAAAAATATTGGAAAACACAATAAAAGCGATTTGTAAACATATGAAACCTCTACATTTACCAAAATTAATAAGAAGCAAATTGGAAGTTGTTGCCAAAGATTTTTTAGATAAATGGAGTTTTCCCAATTGCTGCGGCGCTTTAGACGGAAAACATTGTCATATACAATGTCCATTGAACAGTGGATTCTTATTCTACAATTACAAATATTTTTTTCCATTGTTTTGTTAGCTTTAGTAGATGCAAATTGTAAATTTCTAGATGTCGATATTGGAACCTATGGAAAAGAGGGAGATAGTGGTATTTTTTCTAAATTAAAATTAGGAAAACAAATTGAAAATGGGACATTACCTTTTCCGAATGGTGCAAATTGCCTGGATCAAACATCTTTCTTCTACATTTTCTGATAGGAGACGGAGAGTTCAAATTGTTACCTCGCCTTGTGAAACGTTATCCTATTACTCAAAATGAAATGGATACAGAAAAACGACAATATAACTACCGGTTGAGTAGATCCCGAAGAACGGTCGAAAGTGCGTTTGGAATGCTATCAAACACTTTTCGAGTATTCCATACGCCGATAATGCTTAAACCAAGCACAATTGATTATGTAATACTTGCTACTTGCTGTTTGCATAATATGTTAATAGATGACAAAACCGAAAACATTCATATTAACAGCAATACCAATAACAGCGTTCCCAATAATTTAATTTCTTTGAAAAGGAATGGTGGAAATTCTGTTGTAGCAGCAATGCATTTAAGAAACTCATTGTATAATTGTTATAATTAAAAATTATGTTTAAATTAATTATTACATTATTTGTATGTATTTCATCTTGTTCTTTTTTCATTTTGCTTTCGTCCGTCATAACGTCCACCCGCTGCAATGCTTCGAAACCATTTGAACGGACACACGCAGCGGGTAAACGCCAACCGTCGACGCTAGCCGTGACCGCTGGCGTGTCTGAGAAACCAAGTGCACACACTTTTAGACATAGCATTCAAACGTTGACGGCAGCCGTTGTCCGTCGCCGCTGACGTGTGTTCAGAGAAACCAGCGCCATAGGTATTCTGACCTTCGAGGCAGCTGCTCTGAACAATTGCCTTGCGCTGCAACCAAACCACTCTCTCAGGTTCTTCAACCAGGAAACGCGTCTTCTTGCTACGCTTCTCCTACCCTCTATTTTTCCTTGAATTATGAGTCTCAAGATGTTGAATCTTTCGCCTGTCATTACATGTCCAAGATATTGCAATTTCCATTGACACGTTTAGGCCATATTATCAACTGTCCCATTATTAACTTAACTATCTAATAAAAATTCTGAATTATTTTATTAAGATTATAATTCTGTTTGTATTAAAAATACACAGAGCATCATAATTTATCATAATTTATTAAATAATTGAAGCATGAAATAAACTCATCATCGTTTTCATTGAACACACAATATAATTTGATCTATATTTCCATTAAAAACGGATGATTTTAATGAAAGGAAAGCATCATTACCAGCAATTTGCAATAGCTGTAACCTTGGCAATGATACATAATTTTCGAACTGATGTAATGAATTTTAATGTGTTTACCAACACACAAGACTAATTTAATCCGCGTTGTTTTTATTATTTCCTTTTTTCATCAGATCCACTAACGTTACTTCATCGCTGTATTTGGTGCAAAACAGGAAGTTTGCTTAACGATGGATTCTAATTCGGTGCGGTAGCTATTGTTCAATGACTCGGATTTAAATTTTTTGCAGTCGTTGAGTGGAAGAAAGCTCATTGTTAATAAATTTGATGCAATTTAAATTGAGTTTTGATTGTAAAATAGATAAAAACTGGGTCATTCAATAATTTTTTGTAGGTATATATTTTGTATTTTTTTTTTGCTTGTTACATTGCAGATCCTCTATTAATTAAAAACCTTGCTTGGAACTTTGGTATAATCCAGCAAGATTTTTAGTTAAATGATCTAAAATACTACTAAAACCTATATTAGTTTCTAAATCACTTGTAACACGGCATGAATTGAATCTTAAAACCAATAAAATTGTAAGATTTCATAGAGAGGTATCATAGGATCATTAAATAAACCGAACAAATTTACTACAGAAGGAATAAGATAGTAAGGTAGAAGGAATAAGTGCATTTAAGTTCGTATACAGACAACAAAACATTGGAAATAAAAATATTGGAGCAGTAGTCGTCAAATAAACCCATACCTTTCTATCTTTTGAATTTGGATGTGGATACAAACTGTGAGCTTCTGCCAGGAAACCCTTTTGCCAGCAAACGAAATAATCGTAATCAATGGAGAGGTTGTGAATAACATTCAATACGCAGACGGCACTGTACTAGTTGCAAGAACAGTAGAAGAATTACAATGATTACTTACAAATATAAATATTGCCTGCAACAATTATGGCATAAATATCAATATAAAAAAACCAAGTATATGGTCTTCAGTAAAAACATGACACAACCAGCAAATATTAGTATAAAAGGCATTTAAATTAAAAAGTATCAAGTTACAAATACTTGGGGACTTCAATAAACGAAACTTACGACCAAAACAATGAAATAAAAAGACGTATCGAAATTGCCAGAACCACCTTCATAAAGATGAGGAAATTCTTCTGCAACAGAGATATCAGCATCCCTCTACGATTAAGAATGCTAAGGGGCTACGTATTTAACACGCTAGTATATGGTGTAAAGGCCTGGACTCAACAGAATAAATTAAAAAGTATTGAACGTTTCGAGATGTGGTGCTACCGTCGAATGCTGAAGATAAGTTGTGTTGAAAAAGTCACGAACTTTGACGTAATACGAAGGATAGGAAAAGACCCAGAAATTTTGTCAACGATCAAACGAAGAAAACTCGAATATTTGTTTAGATCACCTGATGATAGGACATAAATACGCATTACTTCAAAATATAATGCAAGGAAAAATAAAAGAAAAACGGAATCCAGGCCGTAGAAGAATGTCATGGTTGCGTAATTTGAGAGAGTGGTTTGGTTGTACCACTAATGAACTCTTTAGGTCAGTTGTAAACAAGGTCAGGATAACCTTGATGATTTCCAATCTCCGATAGTAGTGGCACAAGAAGAAAAAGACAAACTGTGAAAACATATTAGTGTTAGAATTATAGTTTATTCGTCTTCCGGGTTTGGACCGTGTCATTTGTGAGTGACCCAAAAGTGGGTTCATCTCGACGTTTCGCTACAATTGTATGTAGTTTCTTCAGGAGAACAAAGAAAAAGAAAAAGAAAACAAAAGACAGGAAGATGGGTAGTTAGCAACGGTAACTCAGTTACTCAACGCAACCAGAGGCGAATACTAACTACCAAGATGGGCATTTGGTCACAGTAACTCAACTACTTAACGCAGCCAGAGGTGAAAACCAAATGCCAGGACAGGGATTCACGTCCAACAGCTCAGAACACTAACGCGTCGAGAGGCGGGGAGTGAATCATCTTCACTCGGAAGACGAATAAACTATAATTCTGACTCTGGCCGTGGAAGCCTACGATTTCATATTAGTGTTAATTCAAATGTTGCTTCAACTTAGAGTGACATAATATCAGTGTATACAAATTTATAGTAATTTCTACAGTAACATTTTCTCTTATATATTTCAGGACTCCGACGACGAAATTTCCCACCTAGAATGGGAAACCGTTCGAGTACGGTTCGTCAAAGCGGGGACGTTAAAGAAACTAGTCGAAGCTCTTTCCACCGATGATGGAGAATTGGAAACGACCTACATCAACGTGTTTTTGGCCACGTATAGAAGCTTTTCTACTCCTAAGGAAGTACTCAAATTGCTGCTGCAAAGATATGCTGAACTGTCAGAAACGACGCCAAATGGCAAGCCAGATCATCATGAACAACATCGGAAGTGAGTATTTTTAGATAGGAAAAACAACACTTTCCTAAGTTTTATCAAAATTTATTGCGATTCTGATGAAACAACTACTTATTTGGTATGGTAACTCTATGGTCGTTAAAGATTTTTGTACCGTCTCATTCTTGTCTTGTCTTGTGATGGTCTGATCGGACTCCGAAAACGTTTGATAAACCGTTAAACAATTTTGTAATCCTTTTGGATATATTATAATCTAGGTTCGTATACCGACATCAACAAATAAAATTTTGTAGTAACTGTAATGTTAATTATTATACTAATATTAGCTCAAATATTATTTTTTCTTTAAATAGATTTCGGCAGTGGTTTTGAGATAAATCGTGCAAATATAAATTTTTATCCAACTTTGTTGCTAACCAAATTAAATGAGCAAATGACCGAATTCTTACCCGTACAAATTTGTATTTGTGTCCAAAAAATATCTGGAAACTGTTATCAATTTTTTAACTTTTGTTTTGCTAAGTTAAAACAAAACTTAAAGTTAAATTTTGCTGTTTGTCTTAGCGTGAAATTCATTTGTTAAATTTCACTTTTGCCAGTTTTGTAAATAACTGTATCATTATGGGGATCACCTTCATAGAGCACTTTCTGTTCCAAACAAGAAATTCTACAATACTAAAGAAAGGAAACAGCGAAACATGAAAAACAATCCAGAAATGCTCACAAGAGGAGATTTGAAGATAACAACAATACCATATATAAAAGGCTTATCAGAAAAATTAAAAAGGATAAAAAGGATATAGATACATCATAACAACATTTAAACAACCAACACACTGAGATCTAATGTTGCTATTATCTAAATATGATGAAGATTTCGTTAGTTTTTAGGATTCGAATCCATAAAAATATTATATAATGGGTGTTTTTTTTAGAGGTATAGAACTTAGAAATGGAATAAAATAAAGAGGACTTTTCTCAATTGCCATGAAATTGACTTTATTCGAAAGATAATCTTTTGGCATCATAATCTACATATGATTTCTGGCTTATCATCGCCACGGCTGACTCTAACGTAGTCTAATCTACAGGTCAAATTTTCGATGACTTTTTCCAACATTTGTGATCGTATGTCGGCAATAATGCAGCGAATGTTCTCCAAGTGTTCAATATTTTCAATGTTATCGGCGTAGACTAGAGACTTCACATATCCCTACAGAAAATAGTCTGGTAGTGTGAAATCGCACGATCTTGGGGACCAATTCACGGGTAAGAAACGTGAAACTATGCGGTTACCAAATGTTTCTTTCAATAAATCAATTGTGGCATGAGCTGTATGACATGTTGCGCCGTCTTTTTAAACCACAGCTCCTGCACATCATGGTTGTTCAATTGATGAATAAAAAAGTCAGCAATAATGACTCTACAGCGGTCAGCATTAACTGTAACGTTCTGGCTAGCATCGTTTTTTCAGAAGTATGGGACAATGATTTCACCAGCCCACAAAGCAAACCAAACAGTCAATTTTTCTGGATGTAATTGTGTCTCAACATAAACTTGAGGATTATCTTCGCTCCAAGAACGGTAGTTTTGTTTGTTGACATAGCCATACAACCAAAAGTGATCTTCATCGCTAAACAAAATTCGCTTATGAAATTCAGGATCAACGGCAATTTTGTTTTAGACCCATTCACAAAATATACGCCTTGCTAGGTGATCGCCGAGTTTCAGTTCTTGTACGTGTTGAATTTTGTAAGGGCGCAAAACAAGATCTTTCCGCAAAATATTCCATACAGTAGATGGACACATATCCAACTGCTGTGCATGATGGCGGATAGACTGACTCGGATCTTCCTCTATGGTACGCTCTATATCAGCAACAACTTCTGTACGACATCTCTGTGGATGCGTATTATCATTTAGAGTAAACATGGTGCGAAAACGTTCTATGATTAATCGAACTAATTGCTCTGATGAACCATATGTTGGGGATAAAATGGATGGCCGCAAGTTAAAAAAGTGTTGCCAACTTACATTTCTATACCTCTAAAAAAACACCCTTTATTATAAAACTATATTTTTGTGTTGTAGAACTCTCATTTCTGCGTTACACGTGTGGCTCGACAGTTACCCCGAAGACTTCAAAGATCCGCCCAATCATCCTGCCCTTCGTCAGCTGCTCCACTTCTGTGAAGAATATTTACCCTCTACTGAGCTAGATGCCAAAGTACGACATAGGATAGAAAGGTAACTATAGATATTTTATATCTTAACAAGATATTATATTTTCGAACATATTTCATTGATAATCTCATTCTCGATTGAGGAGCTTTGAGCATCTTACATCCTGTCAACTATAGGTTTTTCCTTGGGGGCTGAAATTCTACTAAGATTTTTAAATTAAAAGCATCTCGTTATGTTGTAAATTCAATACGATTTCAAAATTTAAAATTTTCTTTTAAATCTTCTAAAAATGTATTAAGAATTGTTTTGAATAATTACTTTCTTTTTAATCTGTTTAGCAGTTATATAAGAAAAGATATTAGTCAACTACTTCTTGCTGACAAGGCAGCAATTCTTTCTACCCTTTCTTACTTTATTATTTATATAAATAGAAAAATGTTCCATTTTAGACTAGAAGAAGTCCGATGTCTTCATACAATATTTGAGACTTCCCGGGTATGGTATCTTTTAATGTCTTTAAGTCATCATTTCTCGAAACATATCCATTAAATCATTCATATTTAGAATTACTTAACATTCTTTATAGTCGAGGTTATCAAATTTCTAAAAATAATTAGAACAACCAATCAATATTAAATACTATTTAATGTTTTTAGGTATACTAGAGAAACGCAAGTAGATCCTCTATTAGCACCTCCTCCTGCATTCGCAATGCGCTCCCTAGCAGCCGGATGGAGGGTTTATAAATTACCAGATGTACCTGTGCGCCATTTTGCTGAACAGCTTACAAGAATGGACGTGGTATGTATAAAAAATTTCCTGTATAAGGTTATTTAATTTTAGATAAATTATTTGTCACACCTTGTTCTTTGTCACACCTTTGTCCTTGTTTAGCTTACAAAACATTTCAGTATGTTTGCTAGTCATTGTCGTTACACAAATCCATATATAATAACTTACATTCGCAAAAAAAAAAACAACTATCGCTAAATAAAATTATACTGCAGGGTTAAAACTGCTGATTAAAAACGAAAGAATTATGCTACAACCGACCTTCCGTAAAAGAATCTAAACAATGACTACTTAAAAATCTAGTAAACAAATTTCAATGGTACTTTGTCTAAGAAGAAATAGGCCATCTCTTTTACTCCATACCAAAATTTCTCCAAGCAAATACAAATGCATGTAAAGAAAGAAAGCTTACCTGAAGTAGATGTCAACTAGAACATAAGAGGCATACCATAATTATAAGACAATTAGAAACGAAACACATGCACTTGTAAGAAAAATAAAAAGTGATCACTTGGAGGGCTTTTCGAAAGAAATGGAATATGATTTTTACGGTCTGCAAAAGGAAATATGGCGTTTCATAAGAGGTCAAAGAATGGAGGTAAAGGAACTAATAGAACCAAAACACATCGACAAGGATACGTGGATTGAGTACCTAAAAAAGCTGTATGCAGAGGAAGAACAAACGACACTAGAACCGGAAACACCATAAATTAACACAAATGAAGAACTTAATATAAATGTAGGTACAGGAAGTTCGGAAAGTACTTGAAAACCTGAAGAACAGAAAAGCAACAGGTAAAGACGGGATACTAAACGAATTACTGAATTATTGTGGAGCAGCAACTACAGATCAATTAACAACATTAATTAATACAATTATAAAACACAATAAAATACCTTAAGAATGGAGAACGAGCGAACTAATTCCACTATTCAAAAAAGAAGATCAAAAACAGCCAAAAAACTACAGATGTATAAACTTGTTAAATACTACGCTAAAACTTACAACTAAAATTTTACAAATGCTAATAAATCAGAGGATAACTTTAGCAGATGAACAACAGGGTTTTCGTAGTGGAAGATCGTGGACAGATACAATATTCGTTATAAAACAAATTACTGAGAAATCACTGAATAATAATAGACCAGCATTTCTTTGTCTGATTGACCTAAAGAAAGCGTTTCACACAGTATGACTCAAAGATGTAATCCATCTTCTGTATAATAGAGAAGTTCCCTGAATATTGTAAAAACTATCCAAAACATCTACCAAAATAATAAAATGGAAGTCAGAATATATGGACATTTTACAGAACATATAGGCAGCGGTATAAGGGGATTCATTGAGCCGCATGCTCTTCAATTTGATCATGGATGAAATCCTTAAAAGCGTTAACAAAGGAAGAGAACGAAGAATGGGAAAAAAAGAAATCAAAATACTATGTTACGCAGACGAAGCAATATTGATAGCCCTATATGAAGATAGTCTACAAAGGCTGGTCTACAGATTTAACATAAGAGCAAAAGAATTTAATATAATACTCTCATCTCAAAAAACTAAAACAAAAGTAGTCAGCAAAGAACCAACCAGATGGAAAATAAAACTTGATGTCATCCGTATTGAACAAGTAATGGAAATAAAATACCTGGGAATTACACTGTCTAGCTATACTACAACAAGCAAATAGACTGGCAGGATGCCTTAATAACACTATATGGTGAAACATACACATTAACACTGAGATGAAATCAAGAATTTATAAAGCCAGTGTAAGAACAATAATGATATATACCTCAAAAACAAGACCCGACACAGGAAATACGCTGACAGATCGAAAAAGTCACCACTCGGCAGAAGTATCGGACGACCGCCCAAAAGATGGAGTGACAACCTTCGCTATTAATCCGCCAATGAAGTAGGATTAGAATTACTTATAAATAGGAAGAAGAAGAAGAAGAAGGAGGAGAAATACAAATGCAAATAAATAAATCTATGTGTTTTTGTTATCTACTGGCAAACTTTTCAAACTTTCTCTTTCTTCCTTTTTCTCCGTTATTACTTTTGTTTCTTCTATTTCATCACATTCTTAGTCCACGTCTGGCTTTTCTATCTCTTTTTGAAGTGAAGCTTCTGTTCTGGCGCTGAATTAGTAGCGCCACGAACCAAATTAGCAGTTCGTGGTTCGCAGTCACAGTAAACAGTTGGAAGAGTAAATTTACATGTTATACAATTAGTGTCCGTTATACAATTTGTAAACTTTTTCAATTTTTATAAAATCTATAAAAATAATAAATAAATTACTTAATTCAATTTTAAAAATATTATTTTAATTTTAAAAATACAGAAGACATAGTATGCAGTTTCGCGCTAGTAAAAATATCACCTACTGTACCACTTCTCATTTCTCAGTTTTTCCATTCTGTTTTTATTTACATTTCCCATCAATTTGCTCTACGGTTGTCTATGCCAATTTCTGCTCCATCTTCTAGATTACATCCCACTCATTTTGTCTTACTGTGTTGTGTGTTTTGTATCCTCGCATAATAGTTTTCTCTTACATATAACATATATTCAGCAAGTTATTTTTATTTTATTTGTGTTACTAAATAAAATTAAAATATATATTTATGTGGTAGGTATGTAATGACGTTTTGTTTTTATTTTAGGATTTGTTCAAAAAGCTAGTCCCTCACCAATGCCTCGGTGCTGTATGGTCGAGACGGGACAAGAGCAGGTCTCACGAGGCTGCTACAGTTTTAGCTACAGTAAATCAATTTAACGCGGTATCTTTTCGCGTAATCTCTTCCGTTCTAGTCGATTCCTCTCTAAGATTCAGTGATAGGGCAGCCATTATTTCCACCTGGATAGACATCGCACAAGAATTAAGATTAATCAAGAACTTTTCCAGTCTGAAGGCAATTATCAGCGGGTTGCAGAGTAATCCTATATATAGGTAAGTTAATAAGTTAATTAAAATCTTATTTTTTAATATACAACTTTTTTATTTTAATAATATCTTTGGCTTAGCCAATTAGCCAGACTATTTGTGGTATGTGAGTTTATCTTTTTCTGTATACAATAAATTTGCTGACATATTACATTATAAAAATAAAAACTAAAACAAATCATTTAACTAATATGCCGGTTCATTTTGTAAATTACTGTGAATATAAAGAGATCAATTGAATTCAAATTGACATATCTTTGATTTTGTGTACAGTTCTCATTTTCTTCTCTCAGGTTTTTAGTATTTTTTCTAAAATATACCGAATAGCAACGTAAGAAGATAGTACACAATCGTAATATTTTTAAGTATATATGTGTAAGTATGTATACAAACACATAACAGACAAAAAACTTCATACATAAATATTGTAACACAAGAAACGATGGACATTGTTTAAGGCACACAAAATGAACGAGGCTGCGTTGCTCAGAATCAGGATTGATGTGGATGTGGTGATTTGGAAATTTGCCAAAAAGGATGCCATCCTTGCATTACACTTACCTTGTATGTTCGTTCAGTCAACCTGTCCATAGAAATGTCCATTCGGAATTAATATCTTCTTACATCTTGAAGTTTAATATAAATTTCTCCGAATGACCTGGTTAAGAAACACAAAATAATGTTAATATTGAATGTTATTTATTGTTATTCTGATTGTTATTCTATATTGTTATTGAAATTATTATATCGGGAGCAGGCAAATAGATAATTTATATGTAGAAGAAACTAAATAGTGATATACTTAAATTTTACAGAGAGTGAGCAAGCGAGAAAGCAACTTATCACTGAATAAGTGTCGCCTAGAGCTTACTGAATAACGAGTATTTATATATTGTTTCTCTAAAATATATTTATTTTTATGTTCTCAGAACTGCATTACAAAGATAAAGCCAAATTTTAATTAATTGTTTTATGTTATTGTTACTTTTATTTTTGTGTACGTTTAATATCCATTCTGTTATATTTTAGGCTACAGAGAACATGGCAGTCAATACCAAAAGACAAAATCGAACTCTTCGACGAATTGGCTCGAATATTCAGCGAAGACAACAACCAAATGACTCAACGAGAACTACTCATGCGCGAAGGTACTGCGAAATTCGCAGATACGTTCGGAGAAAATGACAAACATTTGCAGAAAGTTTTCCAAAAACAAAATCATCACGTAGCTAACATCTCTTTCGGCACCATTCCTTATTTGGGAACGTTCCTTACGGATCTCACTATGATAGATACTGCCATACCGGATACCATAGTAGAGGGTCTGATCAATTTCGATAAGAGGAGGAAGGAGTTCGAGGTGCTAGCTCAGATTAAATTGTTACAAGGTTTGTAAAAAAAATGAACAACTTTTTATTTTTTGTTTATTACTATTTCTTTGAAGGTTAGTTATGTTTTTATAAGAGATTAAATCGAAAATAATAGTAATTTTTGAGCATCCAATGCACGTTATGGAATGTATGCCATTGTCTGTTTTTCTGTTTGCACAATAACACTTTGGTCTTAAAGTTTTTCTTAAAGTTGAAGTCGTAGGTTGTTGAAACTTGCTACATGGGTTTCCATTAAGCAAATATCCAAAGTAATAAAATCATGGGTGCATAGTTTCCTCTTGGTGTAAGGAAGAACAGGGTGAAAAAAAAAACTTTGAATCTGGGTCACTAGTTTTTCTTTTTCATATCCTTAAGCCCTTTTTCTTCTTGTAGGAAACCCTTTGGAAACTTGAAACTTGGTTCATAGGTTCCTCTTGGTAAAAATAAGAACCATGGTGAATTTGGAATCAATAGATCTTCTTCTTTGTAAATATAAACACCGTTGAATCTAGGTCAATAGTTCTTCTTCTATTCATATTGTTATGCCTTTTTTTAAAGGTCCTAGAGCATTGAAACTTTTGGACAAGAAGAACCCTATTGAGGTTAGAGTCAATCGGTCTTCTTCTTTTTAAATAAAAAACATGTTGGTTTTGGATTAATAGTTCTTTTTCTTTTTATATTCTTAAACCTTTTCTTTATCTTTAATGACAATTCTACCTAATTGAGCTAGCTGTCTTTTAAATTTGGTTGATTGGTTCTTCCTGGCTATTATTGGTCAAAAAGAGAACCGCATATAATTTGAGTCAATAGGTTTCCTATAAAAAAACCTTTTTAGTCTGGGCTCGTGGCTTTTATTCATTCATCTTTGCATATTCTTATGTCTTTTCCTTCTTTTGCAGGAAGAACGTAGGTTTTCATAGAATAGGTTTCTTTTCTTTGTAAAAAAGTTTGTTGAATCTGGATCAATAAATATTTTTCTTATTATATTCTTAAATCTTTTTTGTTTCTTTAGCCAAGTTCGTGATGATTTGAAACTTGCTCCATAGGTTCTATTTGGCCCAAAAAAGAACCTATTGAATTTGGGGCAATATATACTAGTCTTTTGTTTCATGGGTTCCTCTTGGTATAAAGAAGAACTGTATTGAGTTTTAAGTCAATAGCTGTATCAATAATTATTTTTCTTCTTATATTTTTAAGCCTTTTCTTTTTCTTGAAATTTAGCTAAGCCTTGAAAACTTGGTTTATAGGTTTTTCTTGGTTCCTCTTAGTCATAAGAAAAATCGTATTGAATTTGAGTCAATAGGTCTTTTATAAAAAAAACCTGTTGATTGTGGGCTCTTCTTTATCTTTGTATATTCTCATGTCTTTTCTTTTTCCTAAAGGAAGAGTATTAGAATCTTGAAACTCGGTTCATATGTTCCTCTTGGTCAAAAGAAGAACCCTGTTGGATTGGGAGATAATAGGTTTTTACTTTGTAAAAAAAACTGTTGAGTCTGGATCAGTAGGTATTATTCTTGTCATATTCTTAAGACTTTACCTTTTCTTGGAGAAAAGGTCCTAGAGACTTGAAATTTGGTCCACTGGTTCTATTTGGCCCAAAAAGGAACCTATTGAATTTGAGACAATCTGTGTTCGTTTTCTTATAATTTTATGCCTTTTTTCTTGACCAGGAAGTCCTTGAGTCTTAAAACTTATTACGTAGGTTCTTTTTGATATAAAGAAGAACCATTGATTTTAGAATTAATAGGTCTTTTTCTCTGTAAATAAAAACCATATTAATCACTGGATCAATAGTTCTTTTTTTTTTGCTTGTACTCCTTAACCTTTTCTTTTTCTTGAAATAAATGTGGCTAAGTTCTGGTTAAATTTGTAGTGATTAGGTTTTTTATTTATGGTATTGAGTCATAGAACGAATCTATGACTCAATACCAGGAAACGACATTAAAATTGTGATAGGTGACACAAACGCCAAAATCGGAAAAGAAGAAGAGTACATAGGGGTAATAGGGAAACATAGTCTGCATAGAGAGACAAATGAGAATGGTCAGTTTCTAATAGACTTCGCAGCTGGAAAGAATATGGTTATCAGTTCGACCTGCTTCCCACATCGGGACATACATAAGGGCACTTGGATATCACCTGACGGAAACACAGTCAATCAAATAGACCACGTACTGGTTGAAAGAAGAATGGTCACAAGTATATTAGATGTAAAAAGTAGGCGTGGAGCAAGCTGTGACTCCGACCATCTACTAGTACAGATACGGTTTAGATGTAAAATCAGTCGACAAGCAAAGGAAAAATATCCGAAACAAGAAAAACTAAACTTAGATAACCTAAAAGTCTCTGAGGTACAAGAAAGATTTGAGAGAACAGTGAGTGAAAAATTACTAGAAGAAAACATAGAAGAATTCACAATAGAAAATCATTGGAACACCATAAGCACTATCGTACTAAACACGGCACAAGAAGTTCTTGGAACAACCACTCAACGGAGAGAAGAACAGTGGTTCGATGAAGAATGCAAACAAGCTATTCACGAAAGAAATGAAGCACATAAGAATTTCATACTCAGACGAACGAGAGAGAGAAGGATAGAATTTGAGAATAAAAGACGAAGAGCTGATAAACTATGCAGACAGAAAAAGAGACGATACGAAAACAACCGGATACTAAACATAGAGAGGGCGTTCAAGGAAAACGAAACACGCAGTGCATACCAACTTATCAAACATTTAAGACAGGGTTACAAACCGAAGACTAGCCTATGCAAAAATAAGAATGGGGAAATAATTAGCGATATGGACGAACTTAAGAGAACCTGGAGGATGTATTTTAAGGAATTATTAAACGAAAGGGCACAAACACCACTACAACAGCGGCAGCAGCAGGTAGAACAGGAAGGTCAACAACAGGAGCTGTGGGAAGATGGAGAAGATAATGAATTGGCTAGACCTCCAACGCTAGAGGAGGTTCGAACAGCAATCCAAATGCAAAAAAGCCATAAAGCGCCGGGAATAGATAAGATACCGGCAGAACTGTTCAAGCAGGGGGAACAAATTTGACAGAACAGATGTACCAGCTTATACAAGAAATATGGAGAGAAGAAAAAATCCCACAACAATGGAAGAAAAGTATAATCTGCCCTATTCATAAAAAAGGAGACAAACTGTTATGCCAGAATTATAGAGGCATCTCTTTACTTTGTTCGGGGTACAAAATACTCACAAACATTCTTAATCGAAGACTTCAACCCCTCACTGAAAAAATTATCGGGGAATATCAAGCAGGGTTCAGGCAAAATAGATCTACTATTGACCAACTATTTACAGTTAAACAAATACTAGCCAAAGCATGGGAATATGACATAGACGTCTACAATCTCTTTGTAGATTTCAAGCAAGCCTATGATTCAATAGATAGAACAATACTACCTAATATATTACAAGAATTTGGCATACCATCAAAATTAATAAGACTAGTGCAAATGACAATGACAGAAACAGAAGCACATGTATGTATTCAAGGACAGATCACTGATGCGTTTATGACAACGCAAGGACTGAAACAAGGTGACGGACTGGCTCCAACACTTTTTAATCTTGTTCTTGAATATGTAATTAGACGGTTGACGGTGAGCAGAAATAACATACTTACAAACAAATCTACCCAATTAGTAGCATACGCAGATGACATAAACATAATGAGCAGAACAAAGACTGCGGCAGAAGAAACCTACGTTCAGTTGAAACAGAGTTCAGAAGTTGTAGGGCTAACAATAAATACAAATAAAACAAAACTACTCATACAAACCAGATCAAATAGACAGGCGCAACAACAACAATTTATAGACGATATAGAATACGTGAATAGATTCACGTATTTAGGAATGGATCTGGTCGAAAATAATGAAGAAGAACCGGAAATAAATAGAAGGCTTATGCTGGCAAACAAAGCCTATTTCGCGATGGGCCACATATTCAAATCGCGAGACGTACACCGGAAAACAAAACTCCGGGTATATAAAACAATAATCCGACCCATAGTAAGTTATGGGGGTGAAACATGGGTTATAACACAGAAATCTACCAATGCATTAGACGTGTTCGAAAGAAAAATATTGCGTAGAATACTGGGTCCAATAAAGGAAAATAACAACTGGCGAATTAGATATAATAACGAAATATACGAACAATACACTGAACCAACACTAGCACAATACACTAGACTGCAGAGATTACGATGGGCAGGGCATGTGGCCCGCATGCATGAGAACAGAATCCCCAGAAAATTACTAAACGCAAGAATGCAAGGAAAAAGACCTGTTGGAAGACCAAAAAAGAGATGGGAAGACGAGGTAGATGAGGATGCCAAAAATCTCCTAAAAACGCGTTCATGGAAAAGAACAGCAGTAAATAGAGATGTTTGGAGAGGTCTAATGAAGGAGGCCAAGGCCCGGCTTGGGCTGTAGTGCCATTGGATGGATGAAGGTTTTTTATTTATAAAAAGTCTGTTAAATCTGCATCAATAGTTATTTTTCTTCTTGTATTCTTAAACCTTTTATTTTTCAATTTTTTCTTCTTGTATTTTTATATCTTTTCTTTTTCAATAAGCAAAGGTGGTGGATACTTGAAACTAGGTCCATAGGTTCTATTTGGTGAAGATGGAAGAAATGAAAGATGGACCATATTGAATTTGGGACAATATGTGTTTATCTTCTAATATTTTTATGTGTTTTGTTCTCTTGTAGAGGAAGTCCTAGTGTCTTTAAATATGATACATGGGCAATAGGTCTTCTTCTCCTTTTCATATGCTATGCCTTTTCAGACAGCGCCAGTGTTCTTCAGCGGATACAGTGCCGTTAATTATTCTGTTATGGTGAAATGGACATCACCACCCCTGATAAAAATTGCCACTTGGGCGGTGTCTGTTAAATCGGTACTTTCATCCAATTCTAGAGCATAGAGCATAAAATATGAAATTAGATTCTCGATGTTTCAAATTGACTTCAAGATGTTTTCCAATATCGTCGACACGCCTATATATAGTAATAGTTTGACGACACAGGTTTATTCATGAGAAATCGGTTTTCTTTAATGGACACAGAATTTTAACGACAAACTTCAAACATTACTTAACTATTTTAACTGCTTACTGCACTTAAAAAAGTAGATAAAATATTTGGTTATAGCAACTTCTATAGCAAGTATTGTTTTTAATGTGTGTGTAAAAATCACCCGGCGATAACGCACACAATGGCAGCGATTACACGTCAGACTACATCGCAAGCTTGTTACAGAATGGCGGTTGTGCTCACACAACACCACTAATGAGCTCACTGCTATCCAGGCGCACAGATCGGCAGCGCGCTTTTTAGTTATTAGTGTTAAAAGAAATATATCATAAAAGAAATTGTCACGATAGTTAAATCATCTGTGTTGAGATACTTTCTTACGTGAGATATGATACGAACGTCATACATAGGAATATTATTCTGGTGATTTTAGTACATTAAGAGAAAAAAATGTGTGCATACGCTCCACGGGCCACAAATAAACACCCAGCGAGCCATGGGTTGACCACTCTTGATGTAAATTCTTTATACTTTTTTCAACATACCAAAACTTTTTGGGATATACCAGTGACATACTAAATAGAGTATCGTAACAGAGTAGCATTGTATTTTATTTTTAGGTGCTGCAAATGCTTACCATTTCACGGAAGATCCAGCCTTCGACCGATGGTTCGACACTATTCTAGTCCTAGACGATCGAGATGCCTACCAGCTCAGCTGTCAAATAGAACCATCCAGTTCTAACAACGCTAAAGTTAAGAAGCGAACATCGGGACACCAGAAGAATGATTCGATAGCGAGTACTTCGAGTAGCAATAGCTCGCAGTTTTACTGCGACATCGACAGCACGCCGAGTTCGCCGCATAATAGTTTAGATAGAAAATTGAGCCCTTCGCAGATGTCGAATTCGAGTAGTAATTCGTCGCTACCTTCTTTGGATGTGTCACTAAATAGCTCGCATTCGGGCAGTGCAAATAATAAACTTCAGGTGAGTTAAAGCCTTTTATATCTATCTATAAAGAAAATAGTGTGAAAATAGTAGATTTTCCAGTTTTTATATCAAATTTTTATTTAAAAGAACCTATAAGGGCTAAATCACAGAATGTTTTCGGAATACATATTACATCTTCAGTGCTGCTACTACGTATACATGCTTACAGCCACAAAATATATGGGTGAAAACCCTTTAATTGGTATAGAGTCCGTTTAGGGACTAATTCTCCAAACCAGTAACCCTCGTTGAGACCTTACGTTACGATGAATTCAATCTTCTTAAAATTATAACATTTTACTTAATTATCAGCAACCATGTAATCTAATACCAATTAAATAACATTTAAAGGGTTTTTACTTATATATTTAGTGGTAGTAGTAGTTTATATTTAAACATGTATACTTAGTAGCAGCATTGAAGATGGAATATTTATTCTGAAAACTTTCTGTGATGTAGCCGTTAGGGTTCTTTTAAATAAATATACCCTTTATAAAGGACTTTTGAGTAAAAATGATGAAAAAATTATGATATATGGTATACAGCCGACCCCAGGAAATTAACATTTTCCTTATGGATGTTAAAATTTATAGGTTATTTAGATGAAATCAAACGGACTCTCCACTATTGAGCTTTTAGTACAATTTATTCAAACTTCGATAACCTGTTTCACATCTTTTTATCTATATTCAACCACAAATTTGTCTTGTCTTTAAAATCCAGGGACAGTCAATCTTTAAATATTGCTACAGATGTTCTTTGTTATGCTGTTGCTTTCTTTTTCACTATTTTTAGTTTTAAAACTTTACCTTTAAAAATATAAAAACTATCGATAGGACGTATGGATACTATTTGATCGAATCTCTTCCTATACATTTAAGTATTCGGATCTGGCTAAGGATCCTATCGAACATAGTCCTCTACGAAGTATTGTAGTAAAGTTTGCGTGTAGTTATTTTATTATATTTATAAACTCTACCAGAATCTTGTTAGAACTTAACCGTGTAGACACTTCAGTAAGTAGTAATATCATAAGTATATAAGGAGTTAAAGATACTAAAGTTCTGTTCCAAAATCTTTTAAGATTCATAATTTACTTTCCATACAAGGCTGGGTCATCAGCGAATATCAATGCCAATAGGCACAAATTTTGCAGAAGCCATTAGTGTCCAGGTATAAACTTCGATTACGTACAATATTTTAACAATTTGACGAGGTACTTTATTGTACAAATACAAAAGTAATATAGGATTTAACTTTAAGTGAGAGCGCCCACCAAAGTGGCGTGGCAGTGGCAAGTAGCAAGTAGCACGCGTCTAGCATAATGTAACCAATCCTAACGAATGATTAGAATGAATGACGTTACTGTCATTTTGGTGTAAACTGAATCATTCGTTTTCATTGGTTACATTATGCTAGACGCGTGCTACTTGCTACTTGCCGCTGCCACGCCACTTTGGTGGGCGCTCTCACTAATATGCACAAAGTTACCTTTATATTTCATATTTTTACTTGTTAAAATATAAAACTAGGTTTTAATAATTTAACGGTTACATGGGATAATTCATAACTTTTATATCTTTAAGAAAAATAAATTATAAAAGTTTTAAACTAAAAGAATAACAAACTGTTTTCATCGCCCTGAGACCGCCGAGTATTTTCTCTTTTGATTTTTATATATTGGTCCGTCGAGCCGGATGTATTTAAGAATTTTTATTGTGTCGTATATGAAGCACAAATGACATTGTAAAAGGTTATAAATTTGGTAAAAACGGCTTGTAATAAATGAAAATATATAATTTTAATATTATTTAAATACATACGTATCTAATAAAAGTTTATTTTGTACAGGTACCTTTAAACCATAACAGTTCGGGGACGTTGAGCAACCAGTCGCAGAAAAGTAATCCAGACTTTTACATCATTAAAGTAACTTACGAAACGGATAGTGTGGAAACGGACGGTATAGTGTTGTATAAAAGTATAATGTTAAGTAATAATGAAAGGACGCCTCAAGTGATCAGAAATGCCATGTACAAATTAGGATTGGAGGGGAATCCGGACCAGTATACTCTAGCTCAAGTTTTACCAGAAAAAGGTAAGGAGAATATTATACATACACATAAAATTAATATCAGTATAGGTACAGTTAAAATTAAACTCACTCAAATTTACGGGTTAGATCGAGTCGTCGAGATTTTGACTTCATTTCTGAGCATTTATCAGAATTATTTCGAGGGCTTAGTATCATGAATCCTTAGATAATTTCACTACTATATTTACTGACACTATATTATAATATATTACACTGCTGCTTTTCTCATGCCATGATGGTAATTTTATCACCTCAATGCTGACTTTATGGGCAAGGTTGTTACGAATATTTTTGATTTGTCATCTCTTGCTGACACAATCTGGGCGCTTTTAGATAGTAGTTTCTTTTGTTTGTGAACACGTTATAATTTAGTACCGATTCCTATAACTACTTTATGTTATGACTGATAGGATCTTATCAAAATATTTCCACATCATTTGTCAGAAGTGTTATTTTAAAATATCAAAAATTAATATGCTTCTCTTTTTTCAGAAATGGTTCTTCCTTCGAATTCCAACGTATACTATGCAGTGAATACACAGTACAACCTAAACTTTATTTTACGTCCCAAAAAGTCTGAGGAAAAGGACACACCAGGAAAAAACTCGAAGGGCAAATATAAACTGTAATTTTTTTTATTGTACAAGTATTTGATATTTCAAAACTTTGTCAAGTATATACTCTATATTTTGATGCGTGCGTCGGGTTTTTCACTGAAAATTTCTGAGTTAAGTCAAGTAGTGATGTTGAAGACAGCTAAGTTAAATATCTCTTACACAAAGGAATGCTTAGAGGTCTGTTAATGATGAAAAAAAAACAGATAATAAAAGAGATGGAGCAAGAGAAGTTGCAGTGAAGGTATATGTAGAACCCTTATATGAAGATATTGAGGGGATGATCTCCGAGGACCATAAATATATCCTAACCTAACATAACCTGAAATATTATAAAGCATACAATACACTCATGGACAAAAATATCAAATATTTTGGAATTTTCTAATTTTTTTTTTGGGAATAAATTCTGTCCAATCAAGTCGTTTATTATGAAAAAGAGTTTATTTTAACAATGTAATGAACAATTTTAAGTTTTTATGCGGAGAAAATTGCGAAAAAAATAATGTTAATGCTAGGTAAATGAGGTTTTTTTACTCTAAACTTAAATGCTAACTTAAATTGCTTAAACAAGTCTTTTTAATTAAAACAAGTGTAAGTTCAGTAACGCGTATTCCCCCTCTAGCTCTTATTACTGCTTGCATCATTATCGGCATGCTTGCAAGTAAATTTTGGACATACCCTTGGGAAATTACATTCCATTCATCCTGTGCAGCAAGCTGAAGCTGCTCTATCATATTTGGAATGGTATTACTTTGTCGTATGCGGCATTTTAGCTGATCTCACATGTGCTCTATTGTATTTAAATCCGGACTAAATGGTACCCAATCCAATCTTTGAATTTGGATCTCATCAAGATAATTACTTACTATGGCAGCGGCATGTAGTCGAGAATTATCGTGCATTAACATGAATCTGCCATATCCAATGTAACCAACATATGGCAAAATATAATCTCAGCATATTTTGAACCTAGTCCACCAGTCATCCGTCCAATCACTTCCACAAGTACGATGCGTCCCTCACAATGCGTCCCCAAAGCATTATACCACTACCTCCAATATTAACGGTCTGGGCAAGATTGCAGGTGGCGAATTGTTCTCTAACTCTTCTGTAGACGTAGTTTCGACCATCTGGCTTATATAATAGCATTCTGGTCTCATCAGTGGAAAGAAAATTTTTTCAGTTGTCGATATTCCAATGAATATGTCTTTTTGCAAATTCTAAACGACGAGCTTTATGGTTTTGGAGAAGACGTGGAACTTTTGCAGGGCGTCTAGACTTTAAGTTTGCTTCTTTTAATCTTCGTCAAACTGTTTTTGAACTCTCATTGAGCTCTAACAGCTCATTTCTGAGGTGCACCGATGTCAATGAGCGATTTATTGTAGAATTAATAACCCAAAAATGTTCATCAATTGTGGTTGTGCATTTTGGGCGTCCTTAACCAGGCCTTCGTACAAAGTTGCCTGTCTCATGGTACCTTTTAAAAGTATTCTAAACTGTAGATTGACTCCTCCTGAGACGCGTTGCGATATTGTTTTTGTGTATATCCTTCCTCGTACAAAATTACATTCTGTGCTGCTTGTGCTTCATTGCAGTGTCGAATTGGTGGCATATTTGTTTTAAACTTACTTGAATCAAAACAATATTTAATTAAACTTGATAGATTAAACTAAAAATAACCGAATTACTATGGTTTTTCCTTTACGTGAAGGTTTTTATGATAAAATGTACGAATGACACTTAAAGCTGAATAAACGTCAAAATTCTTCTTCTTCTTACGGTGCCTATCCGTTCCGGATGTTGGCGATCAACATGGCTATCCTAACTTTGCTTGCTGCTATTCTTAATAGTCCGGTTGTCGATGTATTAAACCACTTTCTCAGGTTTTGAAGCCAAGATATTCTTCTTCTCCCTGGTCCTCTCTTTCCAAATACCTTGCCCTGAAGAATGAGTTGTAGTCCAGGCCGTGAGGCCGCTCCCGTTGGGAAAATGTTTCTGATTCGGTTTCTTCGCGGATCTGGAAAATGTCTTTTTAGGTTTTTTTGGGCCATTCTAAACAAAAAAAGTCTCTTGTCATTTTTCTCTAAAGTTGATAGTTTTCGAGTTATAAGCGATTTAAAGTCTGAAAACGCGAAAATACGCATTTTTGAGGCTTGAAAACACATATGTAAATTATTATTTTTGAGGTTACCAAGTGTCTAAATTAAAGTTCAAACATTCAACTTCAAGATTGTGAAGAGTAATCGGGGCTTATTTTAATTTAGACCGTTGTTTTTTAATTGTTAAATATGCGCGTACACTCGATTTTTCAGCCGTCGCGGCGCAGCGCGCTACCGTGCGCCTCTATCGTACTTATGCATAGTTTACATATACTTACAAATAATTATTATTTATTGAGTATATATTTATTTATATCAATTGAGTTATAATATAAATTTCGTCTAAAGTCTAATAATAGTTACATAAAATAATTGTACAAAAGATTGTTAAATAACACAATAATATCACTCAGTAAAAGTATCTTTGTTTTCACAAAAATCTAAATCACATCCACATAATGGTACACAGTTGACATGATTTTTCTTGCAGTTGCAAGCATTAGTTTTGCAAGTCTTTTTGCATTTGCACGGTTTCCCAACATACCACTATCAGACATATAATATCCATATTGTGTAAAATCGAGAGTTTGATAGCGGGAATATATGGCATTTCGCCAAATATATGTTTTAGCGAAAGCTCTTAACAAGTGTTGGTAAAGTGCGTCAGAGGTACAAGGTATATTGGCTAGATTAAATTAAATTTTTCAGTCACACTGTCTTTTCGTCGAAGAGCAGCATTTTGTATTGTTATGTAAAAATCTACTTTAGGTTTTTGCACTAACTTAATATTGTTGATGTTATTACAAAAAATACAAACTAAATTTTCTTCGGTAAGTTTTCATTTAAGAAGAGGTACGGAAAAAGACATTTTAAATCCATTCACAATTTTTTTAATAACACATTAATAATATAATACCCTTTTAATGGGCATTAAACAATAGTCTTCCTAATGATTGTTTAAGTAATAACAAATCAAGTATGAGCGCGCGATTGTTAAACAGGTAAAAACTTGCATTTTTGCGATAGTATATTGTTTTTAAACACCGCGCAATTTAAAATTAAGTTTACTAATATTAATATTTACTGCATTGTATTATTTAAATAATAATTTAAAAATATTATTTACAATTGATATAAATAAATATATACTCAATAAATAATAATTATATTGTTCAAATTTACTGCATTGTATTATTTAAATAATAATTTAAAAATATTATTTACAATTGATATAAATAAATATATACTCAATAAATAATAATTATATTGTTCAAATTTGGAAGAAAAAAGAACTATATACGGTTATTACATTGCGATGATAGATTTATTTAATTAGCCCAATGGCAATAATTAATACCTACATAAATAAATTATGGAAAAAACTATGTTAATAAACTTCAAGAATTTGTTCGGGTTTTTTTGCGTAAGTGTATATGTAAACTATGCATAAGTACGATAGATGCGCACTCTAGCGCGCCGCGCCGCGGCGGCTGAAAAATCGAGTGTACGCGCATATTTAACAATTAAAAAACAACGGTCTAAATTAAAATAAGCCCCGATTACTCTTCACAATCTTGAAGTTGAATGTTTAAACTTTAATTTAGACACTTGGTAATCTCAAAAATAATAATTTACATATGTGTTTTCAAGCCTCAAAAATGCGTATTTTCGCGTTTTTCAGACTTTAAATCGCTTATAACTCGAAAACTATCAACTTTAGAGAAAAATGACAAGAGACCTTTTTTATTTAAAATGACCCAAAAAAACCCAAAAAAACGTTTTCCAGATTAAAAAAAAAATTTGGAATTTGTTTAAAAAAAATTGTTTAAACAATTTCTGCCCAAAAATTTCGCCCGGCACCCTTCAGATTTGTTTAAAGGGGACATTTTTGAACCGGAATACGCGAAGAAACCGAATCAGAAACATGTTCCCAACGGGAGCGGCCTCACAGCCTGGACTATTGCAACAAGCCGTATCTCTGTTTATTCCTTATAACATGGCCAAGATATTCTAGTTTGCGCTCTTTGATGGTGTTAATAATCTCGCATTCCTTGCCGATTCTACGTAGAATACGTCAAAATAAACAAACCAATTGAGTACATCAGCCTATCATATGAGTAAAATCAGTAATTCTATATATCTGACCAACTATTTTGAAATAATAGTGACTACAAAATAAATAGAATTAAAAAATTCCAAAATATTCGATCTTTTTGTCCATGAGTTTATATGGTATAAACAGCTTATCGTAAAAAATCGATAAAGACTCACAAAACATACGAACAAACAATAATATTCTACTAAACGAAAGTTTTTAGCTGACAACCATACAAGCTAAGTGCGTCGATAAATTAAAGACTTTAAAAAAAATCTGTGAGTTGCATACAAGTTACTTACTTATTAACTGTAACAAGAACTGCTGTCATCAAAACGATGGTGTTTATTGACTGACAGATATGAATATTACTCCATCTTGACCATAATGTATGTAGTAAAAAACACAGCAGTGGAGGTAGAGACCAACTTTGCAGATAACTAACTACTGCTAACTGCTAAATAACTAATACCTGAATACTCTTTATGTTTCTACTTCATATTTTACTGTCAAATATCTAAATGTCTTAATTTCAATAGTAAAATTGCTTAGGAGTTTCAGTGAAAAATCTGATATAAAAAAATTGTTTTATACTATAAAAATTTGTATATTTGTGAGCTGTTTATGACAAATAATCCAAGAAACAAATAACATCTGTGATAAAAGCACAAAATACTCTTTCATCATCACATTATGTGTGGTACTTTAAATTAGAATCATCTAATTTTCAATTTTTTTTTAATAAAATTGCTTCTTTCGAAGCAGAATAAATAATATTAGCGAAAATTTATGCTTTCAGCTTTAGTGCATGGTGTACGATAATTGTAATTGACAGAAAAACTTCAATGTTTCAGATTTGAAGGAAATAATGAATATTATAAATGATTTAATTGACAAGATCATCGAGATAAACAGACTAAGCGGTTGTTCTCGATGGTCTCAGGAAACTTTTACTATCTAAATTGGAGAATGCTCTCCAATTATTACACTAGTTAAGTGTTATATCATTTGACACATACCTAGACCTTTTTATACGGCTATAGGCACTTTGGTTGGGCTAATTAAGCCCTTTATATATATTTAGTTATTGATTTCTTTTTATAATATTACTGCTTACTTCATTTTCTTCTTCATTATTCCTCGATTATGGATCCAATCTCATAATATGTCAAATGAAATAGTGATAGCATACTTTTTGCTGAATTGACAGGATGGCTTTACAACTTTTTAATCTCAACCAAAGTAATTTTTCTTGAGCTTCTCAAAATAGTGTCAAGTTTTGGCTACAGCTCACCGTTCAATGCAAAATGCCGTCTTTCGAGTCATTTTTTAAAGTTTCGGAACAGGAAATAGTCCCATAGAGCTAAATCTGCAGAATACTCGCTTAATTCATGTATCAATAGGTGTAATTTTACCTGTGCAGCGTCTGCCTTGTGGGCGCATTCATTTTCTGGATGGTAGGAGATTTTTTTTGTCACAAACCTGGTCATTTTTGCTTCGAATTGGCGTCTAAACGGTCCACTATATCATCATAGTAGAACTAATTCTTGTATTCTTTTTAAAGTAGTCATTGTGACTAATAACTTCCGTGTACTGAAAAAAACAAGTTATCACTTTTTCGACCAATCAGATGGTCTTCATCAATGGACTAAAGTCGCTTTTTCTCCAGTATACAAACTATTCTTTCCTCTTCAACTTTTAGAAATGAAGCCATATTTCGTTAATAGTAACGTTGCAGCAAAAATACTGCGAATTCCTTTATTATTACGAAAAATCGTCTTAGGTTGGATGACAGGCGTCAAAACCATTCGTTCGGACGTTCTTCCATCTATCGAACTATTTATTAATTTCAAACAAACCTTGTATATCTAAACAATCGAAACTATAGTTGCCTTAGAATTGTATGTTCTTTTTTGGTTGTATTTTTCAACTGTTTCTTACATTAAATATCACACTACCTGATTTTTTTTCTACTTGTAATTTTCTATTTCCTAGTATATATTTTCTTTTGCTTTGCCACACAATTTTTGTAACTCTTTCTTCGCCTTTCTATTAAAAGAAGCTAAACATTTTTATTTAATTTCTTATATTTTATTTGGTAAATTCATTGTCCCACTTAATTAGTATTTTTTTTTTGTAAGTCATTTGTTCTTTGGTTTTCCCAGTTAGTTAAAGATGTTTGCGTTGTAATACCCATTAATTGCTAAGCTGTCAGATAGTTTTGGCTTTACATAGTGCGAGGTTCTCGCTATCGATAAACTGCTTTAATTTTTTGCTTTGATTCCGCTAAGTGCGATATTTCTTAACAAAGTGGATTTCCCATTTGTTTGGGATCTTTTGATGTTGTAATAGAACATGTCAAGAAAAGTACTAGTCATAACTAGAAATTGTATAAAGAGGTTATATTTCTGTCTATTTACAAATCACGGATCAATACAGTCCTTCACGAGGATAATTTTCAATTTAAGTGCACCAATGCATCATTTATCACTCGAATCATATACTTATTGCCAACATACTTGTCAAATATCATTAACATAATTATTAAAATAATCTTCAACAAAAACGTTATAATAATTGTTTGTAATATGATTATTTCCAGAAATACAGAGCATTAATTGTTGGAATAGGCACCACAAATGTAGCAACTAGGAACACTGTGGTGTAATACGAGTAATAATATACAATATGAGTTTGTTATGGATGAATTGGCCTATGCGCGTGTGTGGAATTTCTGTCTCACTCGCGCCGTAAAAAATTCTGACAGTGTAGACCCATTTTAACATCGTACCAATGCAGTGTTGCCATTTACAAAGATATGTGTAACCCAGCAATTAATTATCTGTATCATAAATCGTATAGGATGAACGAAACATCGAGAAATTGCATATATTGGTAAAAATATGCATTATCTAGAAGTGGGTATTTCGTCTGATAAACCAAAAGGTGCTGAATATTGACACACAGAGTGTTTGATAATTTTTGTTCGCGTAATTTATTAATATCGCCCTAATTAGATTTTCAAAAATGAAGTATTAGATTGGTGCCATTTTGCAATTTTAAACAAAACTCTCGTTTGTTATTAAACATTCTGTGGAAATAAAATGATCACTAATGCACTCTAAATAAAATAAATAATAATATCATGTTTAGATAATTTTTAAATTGATAAATGTTTAGGTATATTTCAGTTAACAATTTATATGGCGCTTTATAGGGACTGCATAAAAAGTTTTAAATGTAATTAACACCTTACACGAACTATGAGCGGGAGAGCCATCATGAACAGCTGCGAAGTAACTCTGAGAGTTATACTGAGACACTGAACCCACAACAATGTAATGGTATTTATTCAAATCGTCAAGGTTACCAACACAGTCAGTCATTAAGCAAAGCTAAGCTGAGCTGAGCGATAATCAGGACATATATACATTATACCGATTTTTTCATGCCACTGTTCCACAAAACGTCGCTCAGAATAAATTAATGGGAACAAAACACTTGCAAATACTGAATTTTATTGGACTTGATCAAAGTTACAGTTGTTATCAAAATACTTATTAATTAATTACTTTTTTGTCACACACCTTAACTTACTGCCACTATTATTTTGGAATGTACAGGACTGTTCCCTCAGTGTCGTCGCACTCGCATATTCGTTATAAGATTTTTCACACGAATGTTTACATACCTAAGTGGTTTTATTTAGAAAATACAGTTTTTAATGGTGTATGTCGTTTTGTTGTCGTTTTTGATGTTCAAATTATTACTAGCTACGAAGTAGGGTCTAAAAATTGCCATAAGACCCAAGAAAAAGCACAAAAAACTTCGAAAATTAGCGAAAAGTAACAGAAATCGTCAAGCATATCGAAAAAACGACAAAAGAGTCAAAACTCAAATTTTTATCCAGGCAAGCTTTTGATATTTTTTTAACGATTTTTTTACGTTTTTCTTCACTTTTTCGATGTTAATTTGACGCCTGAGTAGTTTATTTTCTAATTGACGGTTAAATATTCATCCAAATTACGTCAATATAACATTTAGTGCCATCAAAACAGTGGCGTAAATCGCGCATAAAAAGCGATAAGAAACCAGTAACTTAGCAGCCTTAAATATGAGAAGAAAAATTGTAAGGGTTAAAAATGGCGAAATAGTGTTAAGAAGACACCAACAACGTAGAAGAAGTTCCAAAAAATCGTTTAGGAAACTCGGCAAGTGACGGAAAACGTCAAAAGTATGTCAAATGTTAGCGAAAAATCAGCCCCCGGTTACCAGTATTTTGAACAAACCAAGTGTTCTGTTACAAAGCGACGCAAAAAACGAAATACGTTAAAAAAACTACAAATCAGAGCCAAAAGTTTTTCAAACATAAAAAAAATCAGCAAAATTACGTTAATAGTGTTTTATGCATGTTGTGTCGCTTTTTCAACGTTCATGACATCTTTCATCGCTTTTTTGAGAGCTTACCTACCATCTGATACACTCGCAGACTGTAAGCAATATCACGGCACTTTGACTGTTAGTGTCTTAATTCCAACCACAACCCAGTTCAATGTTACGTTTAACAAGTGACGACACAGAGTTAGATTAGCAGCTCCAAATAATCTTAGCAAAAGCAAAAAAAACTTAACATATAATAACATATAATAACATATAATAATAATATTTAACAACGACAAATTCTTGATACGTAGTCATTAAGATGGTTACCTTTGTTCTTATATTTATAAATTTCCTCAACGAGTAAAGAGATAATATTCTAAGGTGTATATATAAAATTGTATAACTGAAATATACCAAAAATGTATCCCTCATACATATAACAGTGACTATTAGTTAGCTTTTCAACAAATACCGAGTTGTTCAATGTATAGACTTGTTTATTAGATATATTTTATCGAAGTCGTGGAAGGTATTAGTCAATTGTATCGTATTATGAGCATTGATTTCTCAATTTTTCTCCCAAGTGACCAATTTTTAGCGATGTAGTGTTTTGTGACACTGTTGTATCTCTTATATAATAAATTTTTGTATAAAAATGTAACCCCTATTGGTACTTAATTGTATATAGATTTGTAAAATTGTAAGGAGATTTATTTTTATTGTATTTTTCTATTAAAAAACCTTCATATTAAGCTTGTCTATTATTTATTTACCTATTTATTATTCTTTTTATAAAGGACAAAATTAATAAAGTAAATACAGAATTTTGGTCGGTGTGACTAACTCCTTTGCTTCTCTGCATTCCTAATTCCAAATGCGAGAATTTTCTGAATAGTGCTTACCTCTAGTAGTGAACAGGAGAATTTATATCTTCAAAGTTTTATTATTTGACATAATTGTAGTGTAGTGAAGTGTTCACTTGAATATCGTAGACTAAGGGCGTATTCCGCAGAGTGCGATAGTAAAAACTGACCACCAATAAGAACAATTAAAATCGAGTTATTAAAATTCTAGCTATTAAAATAAACAGTAAAGTGGCAGTGGCGTACCAAATTCTGTTTTCTACAATGAACAATTCGCACACACGGAACACAAACAATCAGTGTCTATTGTAGTATCAACAGAAATTGCAGGTAAGCAGCAGGTTCACTATTAACAAACATTCAGGAACGTGTACCCAACTCCCCAACAATATTCGCCACTAGAATAGACATCCGAACATGCATCAAACCACATATCCTGGCATCCGACAAATACTCCTATATCAAATATTCCACAAAATAAATTCGCTCTTCCACCACAACCACAACAATTTCCACCATAAATTCAATCAATTTACTACAACCCAAGCAACCCATTTACTATAGGGCAGACCTCGGACATAAAGCTAAAACTTGCAATTACACATTCAAAAAACTCGGATATAGAGTCTAACGAAGAGAAAAACTCATGGCAAGTAGTCAAAAAACGTAAATTTTCAAAACAAAATAACGATCACAATTGTCCAAGCTCACCTCAAACAAAAACAAAATCGATATAGTGCATTATCAAACGCCGAGAGCCCTGAACAGACCGAAACAGAAAATACCAAACTACCTCCAATATTCGTATATGGCATCAAAAACTTTAAAGATATAGTCGATAACTTTGGACAAATTGCGGAGGAAGAAACCTACTATACCAGAACTCTACCAAACGACACTGTCAAGATTATAACATATACAATAGATACATACCGTAAACTAATAAGACATTTACTAGAAGAAGAAATTATTCACCACATTTACCAAAGAAATGAAGAACGTGCCTATAGAGTGGTAGTAAGACATATACATCACTCTATCTATATACCCATAACAGATGTAACAAAGGAACTAGAAAAAGCCGCAATAAAGTTCGCAATATAACTAACGCAAAATAAACAGGAAGTAATTACTTTCTGGCCATTATCGTTCCATGTGGAAACTCTAAGTATGTTTAAGAATGTATTATTTTGACTCATGAGTTGCGAGAACATGTTTTTGAACTCGTTTAGGAATTGTTCTGAAGCTATTTTCTTGTTTCATTTTAAATTAATTACTATTTAACTGGGAAAAAGCCACAATTAAATACAGCATACACAAGGAATAATACGAGGAAAATAACAATACCGTACATAAAAGGATTATCAGAAAAACTTAAAAGGATAGGAAATAAATTCAACATTTCAACAACATTCAAAACAACAAACACATTGAGATCTATTTTGTCCAAAACCAAACCTAACAATGAACAAGAAGGACAGAGAATTGCATTTATAAAATACCTTGTGAATGCGATCAGTTTTATTTAGGTGAAACATCAAGGCTATTAAATGTTAGAACAAGTGAACATCAATCTTATATTAAAAATAGAGAATTTGATAGATCTCAAATATGTAAACACGCATG